TCTCCCCCTTCCTCTGCTTCCCCTCTTCTGGGAGTGGGAATTTCTGAGACAAACACAGTGGGAAGGAGGGGAGAATGGATATAGTATGGATGGACATGAGGGAAAGGTGGACATGGGGTAAGGATACAGTATGGATGGGCATGAGGGAAAGGCAGACACGGGGTAAGGATGGACACAGGTCGTGGATGGATGAACTAGTAGCCTTGCCTCCTGCCACAGCGAAAGCTGATTGAGTAGAATAGTCATGGACTTCAGCTCCAGGTCCCAGAGAAAGATCAGGAAACACGTTGAAAGAGGCTGGGAATCTGTCCCGTATGGCAGCTTTCCAAAGCAATGTCCATAATGTCATTGCAATCACTTCTACTGTCACAGTCTCGTGCCACACCTTCCAGAGAGGGAACGGGCAGTCACCCACTAGGTGATGCTGTAGCAACAACTCCTCCCTGCTGCTGCCAGCCACCACCTAGCACAGCAGGTCCCTGGCACTGGAAAAGTAACTCTGGCTATTCCCACCAAAAGTGAGGTTCTTAGAAGCAAGTGACTTGCGAAGGCACAGCACTCTGCACAGAGGGAAACTGCCGGGAAAGCAATCTAGAGCAGGGCAGGAGGTGGAAAAGTCTGGTAGGGTTCAGGTCATCATACTCAAGGGTGTCCTATTCCCCCCATTTTTGCAAGGAAACATTTTGCCAGTTTTTTCCCTCTCCTGAGCAAGTCATTTTAAGAGATTTTACTGTGCACCTGATAAAGCAGCTTCGTGCTTCCTGACTGCTGCTCCTACCTACTCACACAATATCGTAAATACAATGTTGGGGAAGAGAGACAAAGAAAGCTTTTCTGTTTGCCTTTTCTCCATCCCTCCCTCTCTCCACCATCCAACGCATTCATCAGGCAGGACACTAACGGAAAAACACGACCAAGCTCAAGGTCCCAGTCATGTCCAGAGCTGCTTTTTTATAAACTGCAGAGGTTTGATAAGCAGACACACGGCAGGATGGTTTAGACTGTCTCAGAAATCCCAGCATCTCTCTGAAAGGGGCCTTTCTCCCTCTTGCCCCTGCTAACCAAACAAGTTGTTAACATTTCTGAAACCTGCTCTTCCCTCTGGCATCCCCCTGTACTCCTCATCCCCTGAGCAGCACTCTGCTCACTGCATTCATGCATCCCACATTCAGAACCGCCAGTCCTGCAAGAGGCTCTGCCCTGGTATGTTTATGTTTAGCCAGAGCATGAAATACCGTTGAGAGAAGGGCGAGGGAGGAGAAGGGAGACGCTTCAGTGTCCTTTCACTAATGGTTTGCTTTGAGGATAGGCAACGATAACACATACCTCTTCACCCACTGATCTAAAAGCACTTTATATACTGGTGGGCAAGTAATAGTAATGGCCCCTTTTACAAAAGGCTTAAAGGGGACTTTCAAAGGGGTAACTCGCTCCCACTGAATTTCATGGGAAGCCTGGATGCATAACTGGAGGCCTGCCGTGAATCCCCTGCCACTGATATGCACCCGAAGCTCAGGGCAAGGCAATGGCAGAGCTCTGAACCCACATTTTCTCACCGAGTCCCCAGGCTTGCAAGCAGTTACGCAAGTGTTTGCAAATCTTGTCTCTCAATCTGGCAGCCAGGCCACTGGGTCATACTACCCGTGGTTGATTACTGAATGGCTACTAACATCAGTATGTGGTAGGAGTGAGGGAAAAAGAAAATAAAAATAAAATATTAAAATACTTTGCAATACAACTAAACCAGTTCCACATCTCTTGCATCGTTTGGTAAGTATGGAACAAGTAACACAGTAATACAGAAATGTATTTGGTCAAAGTAGACAATCAATATTTTTTGATAAAATACATTCTATATTAATGCTCATTCACATTTAATACACAGGTAAATTAAATTTTCTATGTATAAAATTCCAGTTTATTCTCAGTGCTGCCTGGTCATCTTTCAGTTCAGCAGCAGGGCTCAACGCACTTGGCTCCCAGCAAAGTGAGAGGGGACAAGAGCACCCAGCTCTGTGCAGGACCAAGCCTCCTGCATTCCCTGGAGTGCCCAGTCCTGCAGGTCGCCTTTGAACAAAATCTTGCTGGCTTCAGTGGGAATTTTGCAGGGGTGGAAGCTGCAGAAAGGCCCCATGGCTGTCCAGCACTTCCAGTCTGGTAAGGAGGTGACCCAAACGGCATATGGCATTCCAAAAAAAGAAGGGAATTAGTGAATACAGAAGATGTATCTACATAATTTACAGCTTTACCTTTGCTTGTAACCACATTAATGCTCAACCGCTCATTAACAATTCCATCAATATGCAGGGAAAGGGAGCAGAGCGCAGTAGGTATTACATCCTCCTGTGTGCAATTACAAGCACTGGGTCTTACAGTCTTTCCTCATGTTATGAATTCCTGCCTATCCTGCTGCCATCCAGAGCCCGATCCTCCATTGAGCCTTGTGGATTCAATCTTTCACAGCACTTAGGCTGGTTCAGAACATGTCTGCTCCTCACCCATGGGTCCCTAGCACCGTGCAAGGGGCGCAAGGTGCGTTCGGCTGCAGGTCCTCAGATACCACCCGTGTCCACCCCTGCACCCTCCCCTCTGTTGTGCCCGCACTCGTCTGTGCAGCCACGTGCTGAACCAGGTGGTGGGACTGATCCGGCTGTAAAACCGCCTGTCAATAAAAAGGCAGAGGGTTGTGGATGCCCCATCCCTGGAAGTGTTCAAGGCCAGGCTGGATGAGGCTTTGAGCAACCTGGTCTAGTGGAAGGTGTCCCTGCCCATGGCAGGGGGGTTGGAACTGGATGATCTTTACCATTCTGTGACTGATCCTGTGATTTCACAGCCAGACCGATCCCACAGCCCAGCTCATGACGCAGCCGAGCCCAGGGCTTGTGCACGTGCGTGTGGGTGCCAGTCACCTGCGCCTAAGCAGAACAGGCAAGTGGCTAGCAGACCTGAACAGCAGAACTTCGCCTCCAGCTTGCGCTACTGCACGTTAGGTCTCTCATTCCGTTACAGCCGAGGAAAGTCAGCCCTGAACGATCTACTTGTGCGAGCCGCAACCAATGGCTTGGACGCTACAAAGGGAAAGGTTCTCCCAAAGCAAGGCTCTGCTTAAGGTTATGGCATCTGTTTTAGCTGGAGAGGAAAGAAAAACTTCGGGACTTAAAGCAGGGATGGAAACCACTGGTCTTACACTTTATTTTAGTAAGCAAAAAGCCTATTGCTGCTGTACAGTGTTATACAATGAACTGCCACGGTTCTCACGTCACTAGTCCATAAAAATGTGCTGCGACTATCATGTTTATGCCTGCATGCCGAAAGAATGTACAAAGTTGCATTAAGCTCTGTTTCTCTTTCACTTTTTTTTTTTTTGTATTCTTTAACTCCAACTTCTACAGTGTTGCAGACACTTCTGTGCATACTCAGGAACAACACACTGTCCCGGTTACGGAAGGTCTTTGCTCCAGATTGGAAAAATCAAGTGCTATGCATCTCTCAAGTCATCATCAGAAATGTAAACCACCAAGAAAACTTACTCTCTTAAAGTAACCTTGGAAAAGAAATCTTTAAAAAAACCTATTGAAAAGGAGACGTTGCTAACAACAGGGTTTTCAAATGAAGCGAGTTGTTTCCAGGAGTTGTCCAAGGGTTTTCTCTTCACTCACGTTTTGGTTTTATAAAGCTAATTCCGTATAAAAGGGCTTTTGATGTGTGTGACCTTCATTTCAGGATTTAAAAAAAAATTGGAAAAAAGGAGTAAATTTAGAAACATTTTGCTCGATTGTGGAAAACAGTTGTATTACAACAGAATCCCCTTTGCTTCTTCTATTTTTGGTACAAAAGGCAAGTAAATAAAGAGACCCTGCATCTTCACAGTCTGGCACTCATCCGAGTCACCTAAATCTATGCAAAATAGGTAGAAAATATGAGGGGTCGTCTTCTCCCTTATACCAAGACCCCACCGAACCCCTCTGGGGAGCAAGTCTCTGGTTAAGTAAAACCTCACTAGTTTTTATAACAGCCAAAGTAGCAGGATTGTAGCTCCCCTCCAAGGAGGTGTAAATGCCTGGACTAGCTCAAAGGCTAGAGAGAGGAACGGGTCCAGTATAATTTTAAGAGCCAGGTGCTGGTTCATACCCTTATGGCTTCAAAGTTAAGTTGCACTTTAATTCACGATGCCGTGAGGTTTGAGTAGTAATTTAGCAGTGTATTAAAAACGGTGAAGCTTGAAGTTGGTTGTCATGCAGAAGTGGGATAGGCAATGGCTATGTTTTCATTGATTGGTACGGAAGCAGCACTGGCTTTGGATCAAATGGTGCCGGAGTACCAGGGTTGGCTGTAACGTGTACTACTGATACTAATCATTCCCAGTTATTAACTCAGCACTTGTAAACTCAGTTGTCGGTAAAATGATACTAATACGCCTGACACCAATACTCCCCTGGATTCCTCGCTTCCTATTATTTTTGTTAAGCCTTCATGTGCACTTCTGCAGTACCGGCCGCTATTAAACTAGTGTTTTTCTGGAGAAATCTCTCCATGTTTGGTTTGTCAAAAACCATAGCTGTTGAACTAAAAAGGAAAGCGCAAGTCACGTTTGCTCTCCGCGCTGGTTTCCTTGGAAAGGTCACCGGTGAGGACTCGGCACTCCCACCACATGCTGCCTACATTCTCGGTACTCTACATTCATGTCAGCGAACGCTACTTTCGAACACAAATCGAAGAGACAAGTCAGTGACAAAACTACTTCTAGACTGATAACGGCAGAATGCTACCAAGACAACTCCATAGAAAACCCACTGAAGCAGGAGCAAGATTCAGGTCACTTCTTAGCAAAGCTCATCACAGATTATTATTATTAATTTTTTTTTTAAACCTTTTTGTAGAACTTTTATCCTGGGAGCCAGATATCCCCATGTGATGTGCTAATTTGAGCAGGCTAATGTGGGACCACCTGACCCCACCTGGTACCAAAGGCTTCCGAACTGTTATAGCTTCTCAGAAAATCACTGTTGACTGACACCCATCTGTTGGTGATCGGCTTCTGGTTCCTCTTCTTCCACATCTGCATTGTATTCTTCAAATGCATCATCGTCAACGTCTGGAAGCCCAAGTAACTACAAAGAAGAGAAGATACTGTGTAACAGCGAATTACCCACTCACTACAAATCCTCACACAATACCTAGGTGCCACTTCCTGAAAACCTCAGACCCTGGAATAATAGCATTGCATAACGATCCCGACTCTCCTTCTCTCCCTCCTGTGACAGAACAAGATTTGAAATGCATCCTCACACCAAATTAAGTACTCAGAGACCAGAAAGTAAATAAAACCGAAGCAAAGCCCTTGCAAAGAGCTTTGTGTTCTTCCCTCAGGTCGTAGCGCGAATTGTTGAGTGTTTAGACTTGGCAGTGGTTTAACTTCAGAAAGAACCATGATAGCACTGCAGCGGTAGTTTTCTCAGCTTAAGACTCTGTTCAGCAACCCTATAAAGGCCAAAGAAGAAAGCACCCTCATGTGGAACCGGCAAGTATGGAGTAGGCAACCTAAAGATCCCAGCATGTTACGTGATTCTCTTGAACCCGTCGCTCCATCACACCAGATGAAGCCTTGCACACTGGGTGAAGCCCTCGCAGTGAGAAATACTGTGCATCCAACTCAAAATTGTCCAAGCCCCTTTTAATTGTGGCAAATTAGATTTGGGCTTGTGAAAAACTGCCAGCCCGTCTTCCTTGGATAATGTTTGGATGCCTCCACCTGATGGCTCCATTCACTGCAACGGCACTCGTTCGCTCCAGGAAAAGGAGCAAACAGCGACGTCTGGACTTTTCCCCTCTCCTCCAAAAGGTTGCCAAGCCAACGGAAGTCAGGAAGACACATAAACCAAATAATAAGTCAAAATAATGCATCTGTTGCAGAAATCTTTCATTAGAATCCTACACTAGCAGCTATTAATAGCCACAAAGCAAAATCATATGCCAGGCATTATTGGGAATACCATGTATTTAGCTTGCCAGGGCTGGAAGAGCAGCACAGACGCATGCAACGCCCTGTTTGGAGAGTGACGCAGCTGTTAGCTCTCAAAAGAGGCAAAGCCTAGAAAAATCGCGAGGGGGGGGTTGTGTGACACTCACTAGGTGGTAGCGTGAAAATGAGAAGGCTGTGACAAGGCAGATTTTTAGGGACCTAAACTAATTTAGTCTGTGATCAACATTCAGAATTATTCAGTGGACACAAATACAATGCACAGCGTTAGCCTCTGGGTCCGATGAAGCTTGTGTTCCTCACTGTCACCGTGAGAAAATACGTTTTGTAGTTGCCAGGTTTCTTGGGCAAGGAAATGGAAGGAGAATGGAGGGACTAAACATCCTCCTTCACATTTTAAAAATACTCATGGCGAGACCCCAGAGCTGAAAATGTCCTTGTTTTCTGAGCAGGAGAAAGAGTAAATATTCCTATGCATGCATATTTTTCATATCAAACGCTTAACTGAACGTGAAACTACTTGGTTCATTTTCAGGATGCTGGGGGTTTGTTTCATGTTGAAACTAAAATTAAAATACTCAGTTTTCAAAAGGCAAAAGCAAGGCCTCTAGACTTTCTTATCCACCAGCACTATTTTTGCTACATTTGGTGTGTTCAAATGAAAAATGAGTGTTGCACTGCTCCGTTTATATCACCCGGCAGAAAGAGCTTTGATCACACTGGGTTTTTTGCCCAGCTCTGGTTATAATTACTCCCTGATTTGCAGGGAAATGAGCCACATGATTCTTCATTTTATGGGATGCTGTAAGCGTTTCCCGTGCAAAATTAGCATGGAAAACACAACACACACCACAAGAACCGCAGAGACGCGCATGATCCCAAAGGATGGGGAGCACATCCTGCTTTTCATGCATCCTTCTTCCTTCGCCCTCGGGAAACACAGCTCTCCTCCTGGTGCAGCGTCAATCAGAGTGATGCTGCAGATGTTAGCAGTTTTATGGAGCGTAGGAAAGATGGGAAAGGGATGGGATGCTCCTCTAACAGACGTGCAGTTTTATTCTCTCATGGACACTTTAGGATCTTCCAAGGTGCCAAGGACCTCAGCCGTGCAGGCCCTGCTTTTAGGGGTCGCATCTCTCTGCTTTCCACAGGACTACAGTCCCTCATCGCTGTTAACCCCTTACAGCTCTCTGGACTGTGGTGACAAATCAGCCAGCATTCTGATCTCCTTGGGCCAAAGTAGAAGGACGAAATGTGAAAGATGAGGACAAAATAAGATGATGAAGCTGTCCTGAGCTGACCCTAGACTGACTCCCACGTTGTCTTCTTTCAAACACACTGGTTTGCTTCTAGTCCATACCTACTTTATATATTAAAGCATTTAAAGTGTGGCAGAGTGGAAAGGACTTTAATGGAGAGTGAAAACAAAGAGGAAAGAGGTAAAACAGGTGTAGAAAGAGATAGCTGTAAAGAGACAGCCAGGGGAACAAAACTTCCCGGTGGGGACACATGGGGAGAAGGAGCACAAAAGGGTGGTGAGGAGCGAAGGAGGGAGGACAACCAGCAGCAGCACTACCCCTATTTACTACCGCTGGCCAAACTACCCAACTGAAGGTAAAGGAGACATCACTGGGATGTGTATGAATTAAACGAATGCGGGATAAATGGCTTTTACACTGCAGACTCCCCAGTTTGGATGTAGGATTTTAGGCTGAAGGTGAGCTCAATGCAGGAGCCCTGAAAGTTGCACCTGAATTGTACGACTCATGTTTTGGTTCCCTGCAAACTCTGCCAGTTGGTGCAGTGTCCCTCAAGCATTTTTTATCTTTTATTTACCTTTCTTTCCTTAACTCATTCACAGTACTCTGATTTTCTGCAAATAACCTTGTAGTTTTGAAGTTGCGAACTCGCGAAAGCAGAGCAACATTACCTCCCACCAAAAGCTGACACACAAACATGCTGAAAAATAAGCCCCGTCCAAGAGGAAGCTTTAGTGGTCCACATGATGCTACACTAGAGAGAACGTGGTTCTGCTGAATTCTGGCTTAGTCTTCAGGCAGATGTGCTGACAAGCACCAGCATGGACACCTTTGGCATCGGAGAAACAAGGGCATCAGAAAAACTAGGATGCTCTGGGGCAAAGAGTGGTATTTGAGCCCACTGCTACTGACATCACTTCCCATACCTGCGTGGTGTCTGGCACTTTTGGATGCTCCCTGAGTAATAAGGCAAATCACTGAGGTTGTGGAAATCGGCACAGGAAGGCAGTAATGGACAGAGACAACACGCCCCCACCACCTTCATCAAAGAACAGCTTGACCTTGTCTAGAGAAGGATTTAGAGGCGAGTTTTAGCTGTCGAGGGCTAACCAACACTTTTTAAAAGCCTTGTCTAAATAAATACCCTGTCCTGGCTCTGTGTTTATGCCCATAAAATGTAAAGGAGAGATGCTGGAGAGCAGCGAGGGCTAGTGAGCAGCCCCCAGACTGCCCTCATCGCCTCTGCTGCCCAGGGAAGAGCGAGGAGCAGAGGGAAATCTGTGTCTCTCACTGAAAGGGATGCCAACTGCTGGGCATCCCAGGCCTCACTGCCTTCAAAACACAGGGTCCAGCTGCATGGGCAGCCAGTCCCTGCCCACGCAGCAGCCCCAGGTTAAGCCTGGGGAGACAGTGCTGGGCTGTTAACCCTGAATGTGTGGAGCAGGGCTGAGCTGAGTTACTGGGCAAAAATCTGCCTGGGAGCCCTCCGTTAAGGAAGGACAGGTGCTTGTGCTATGCACAAGGGCATAGAGAGCTGCAGATGCACTGCCAGTGACTCCTCCTAAAAATTTCCCTTCAAAGGATCCCAACAAAGACTTCCAAAACTAATAATCTTGGATGCCTGGCTGGAAATACCAAAATGGAAAAGACTTTCAGAAGGTCCTTACCAAACACATGCTAGAAACCTGGCCACTATTCAGTGTCTCAGACTGAGTAGCCAGGACCATCAGACGCTTCAGAAGAGCCCAGTCTGACCTTCAGGAGCAGTTTTTCCTAAACGGCCATTTTTCAAACACAAGTTTGCCAGACTGGTCTCTGATGGCAGACTTGGTTGGGATAGTGGAGAAGAAATGCCCTGCAAATGCCACCTCCAAGCTGACAACAAGGAGGTTTCATTAGCAACACAGGTCCAGCAGGGAAAGCATGGGGGACAGCGTGAGGTAATGCCAAGGGAATAATTTTCCAATACTGATTAAAAGTGGGTTTGATCTGGCAAAGGCCCGAGGGTGTAAAACAACTGTTTCCATCCATCTATTATAACAGCCTTCACTTTTAAAAATCTATCCTACCATACGTGTGCTATTTTTAATAATTACAGTAAGGGAAAGATGTGAATACATTCCTTAGTAGACTTGCCTGCATACCTCAAATGATAAACCCTGTTTTGTTACACTGATGCAAATCTCTCAGTACTAGGTCAAAGGAGAATCTGAGAAACTTAATCTTTGTGGTACGTCTGAGAGAAAATGAAGAGGTACTTGATTACAGTCTGCAAGAGGTCTCTCACAACTGAGGACGCCAGCTTTGAGCAGACAAAAGCCTAATGAAATTCAATAGCTAGGAAGCAAAACTAGAAAAATGCAGATCGTGAATAAGAGGAGTTATTCACAGAGGCGTAACTAACGATGAGGAGAGAAGTGCTGCAGCCTTTAAGTCACCCAAAGACTTTAGGTCAAGGGTGGGTGTCTTTGGGAAAGCCACGCTGCAGCTCAACCACGATTTTTGTGCTCAGGGGTGGGAATCATGGAGTGAAACTAGATGTACTAAGGAAGAGCCCAGACTACATAAGCATAATGGTTCCCCTTGCTTTGAACTTTTTTTATTCTGAAGGGTAGCTTAACTTGGTTTGACTGAAACAAATTTCTCAGTAACTTAAGGTATGCTGAAATAAATGTGGTTTAAATGAAATAAGTGATCTGTACCAATTTAATTATGTCATTTTGAAGTCCTCTTTAGTTAAACCAATGGAAGTTTCTCCTCAAAGCCACAGCTTTTCTGAGCAGGAGAAAACAGCTATGAAGATCCAAGAGCTGAATATTCTTCTGGGAAACAGATTTATATTTTTGTATGTTTTCACAATTACAACCAGCTGTACTGCCGGATCAGATTTCCAGTCCTTTCTAAGAAAAGTGTGCATCTGTTCTATTTATTTCCAGCCTCTCAAAGGATTCTTTAAAATGATGCTCTTTCATGTCGACCAGCTGTGGCGGTCCATGGCAAGGCAATGCAAGGGTGTAACACAGGGAGGGCCACTGTTTTCCTATGGACGCTCCAAGCCCTCCCTTTCGCTCTGAATACTTGGGATACATTTACAGTCTTCTCGGTTAGTCAGCCAGAAAAAGAGAGGAGGGAAGAAGGTCTGCGTTGTCAGTAGAGTATAAAAACATCCGTCAGTCAGCTTTCCCGTGGACATCACGGGAGCTTGGCTCTGGCAACAAACCTCCCCTCTGCTCTGCACCAGCCTCCCACCCAGCCCAAGGCTCTCCAAAGGGAAAGGCTGTGCAACGGGAGGGCTTGGCAAAAACGAAAGATAACAGCCAGCCCATAACCTCACCCTAATGAAACCCAGGCTTTGACCCAAATCTTAGTGTTAAACAAGGACAGAGAAAGCTGAGTAACCACAAAACACAAAAGTACACACCCCCTCCCCACAGAAGACGTCACCTGCTCCAACCACTTCTCAAGCAGTGGCCAAACTGGTGCTTGCAAATACCAAGTGGCAACCATCCGAACTGCAAAATCTGGACCATTTGGTGGGAAAAAAGGCCAACCTTAAAATAAAACAAACCACTCTGAGGAGAGATCATACTTCCAGCTTCACAGAGGTTTACTCTCGCTGCTCAGATCCTTGCAGAACTCCTCATTTCCAGTGCCAGGAAACAACTCTGCCACAAAGCCCCACTGCCACTGGCTGCCGCACCAGTTGGCCTCCCATCCTGCGCAGGAATCTCATCCTCTCAAATGCAGGGATGGAAATAAGAAGGCAGCTGGCTTCCAAGAAACGATTTCCAATGGCCTGACAGTAGCTTACATGCCAACACCCCTGCGCCAAGGCAGCTGACTGGAGATGTAATTCCCTGCGGGAGAAAACCCACCTCGCTCCATCCTATTGAAAGTCACCGGTAACTGACAATGTTTGCAAGTAAAAAACAGAAACTTACGGGTCTGAAGGATTTGAAGACTTTTTCCAATATTTCATGGAGTGTCTTTTTCCCGCAAGAGGAGATGTAATCCTGTGCGAGCTGCAGAAAAGGTAAGCAGTCCTCACTTTCGCTCCACACGTGCTGAAAGCCAACAGCAACACAAGAAAGAAAAGGCATTAACAGGGATTCAGACTGGCCTTTCCACGTGATTTCATAAGGTGACATGCTGTAAACACCTGCCAAAGGACAGCGGGCCTCCTGAAGCTCAGACCCGCACAGGGGACGGGCACTGCGGGCCTTTTCAGAAGCCACGCTTCTGTGGAAGAACCTTGATTTTATTAACATGCCGCATCAGAAAGCGGGGAAAGGGATCCAGAAGAGGAAACACCTTACTACTGCACCGACAAGGAAGGGTACTTGCGCGTGCGTGTTTTACGAGCAAAGGTGTTCTCGTTGGACATCAGCCCTGGAAGTCACGCTGGGTTTTCTCCTCTTCGGCATCACCCGCTGCAATGAAGCCATCGGGAAGAGCTAAAGCACCTCTCTGTCTTCCTGGCGTTAGTGCAAGTGTGATGCGACCCTGGAGGTGGAACTTGATGTGCAATTCTCTTGAGGACGCAGAAGATGCAAAATATACCCGCAGGTTACACACGGAGCCAAGGACAGGCATTGGGGCACTCACAACATCCTGCCACTTCCTGCCTCCCTCCTTGTCTTGAGGTTTACTCCTCCTAGACCCCAGTCTTCTCTTCCCGGGATATTCCTCTCGTCTTGCTCTTGCTTCGGAGATGCTGGTTCCCCAACCTGGCTCTGTGAAGCCTTCCCCAGAACTGAACGGAGCTGGTGATGGATGGTGGAAGCACACAGGCAGCAACGCTTCTTGCACCCAAGGGCAGCACGCAGCACAAGCTAACGCGTACTCTTACAGACCTTCTTTTTGACAACTTTGTGCACAGGGCTGTCTTAGGCACTCAGCTACACAGAGAAGCGTAATACCGCAAAATTGGTTTGAGACTTACACCTCTATTTTTGCACAGCAGCTCTTTTCCCCAAAGTGCCGTGCAGTGCTTTACTGCGCTATAAACAGTAGGTTATGCTTGAACGAGGAAAGAGGAGGGTCTCTCTGAAGCTTAACTAACATCCAGGGAAAGCGTAAGAACGACAGATGTTTCAATCCCTAACATAAGGCTTGCATGTCACCTTCCTGTTCAGTGGTCAATACCTGCCGGGGATGCAGTTTACACTTACCAAAAGAAAACACTACTTAGCATCACCTAAGCTGCACCTTTAAGATGAAAACTGTAATCACCCTGCTACGAGCTTCACTTAACCTACATTTTTGTTGCTGCTTGTTGCATTTTACAAGCATAAACACAGTGAAATGTTTTGTATGAGAAGAGCCTGGCCTTACACTGTAGGTTCTGCTCTTTCCACGTAACCAGACTCATCTCTTAACAAGTCTGGCAATCAAAATAAGGTCTTCACAGTCTTGCCAGCTCTCAAAGGCACATACCACAAGTCTCATGATACTTCATGCCATCTTAGAGTCATGGACCTTGTGGTCCTATACATGTACAACCAAATGTCAGCTTCTGTTTACAGAAAAAAAAGGGAAAAAAAAAGCAAGCACCTTGTGATTTCTATGGCTTAAAAAGGCAGAAGGTACATGAAGTGAACTCAAATAAACCCTCTTTAAAATATCAAACAAATATTTGCAAATCACAGCATTTTAAGAACAGCCTTGAGATTTTTGAGATCTGGCCCACAATTTCTTAACACTTGGGGTCAGGAATAACTGCGTAGTTACATCTAACGCTTGCATCAAATGTAAGAGCTGGATGCTTTAGTTTGGCAATTCACGGCTCCTGCTAAGCCTGTTGTAATTGTTTATATGTATAAAGCGATTATGATTGCTAACATCCTGATTCGTGTTTAAATTGTGGCTTCTTGTGACTACCAGAAGTATACACAGAAGCTTCCACATAAATGAAAATCAGGCCCTGTCCTGTTCCAAATAATAGCTAGTGCGTTCCCCAGGGAAAAGTTAACCCCATGTTGTCCTATCATCTTTTCACAGTCTCTTTTTCAAGCTGCACCACATTTGAGACTCCAGCGTGAATTTGTCAGCAGTAGCACAGAATAAGATGATCTAGCACGAGGGGAAAACCTAAGTGAATAACTTGACCGCTGAGCTTGTAGAGGCTCTTTTGCATGGCATCGTAAGGCACTAAGCAAATACAGCTTCCAACAACTTCCACATCTGCAGAAGACTTAAAACCTTGGCTGTAGCAACAAATGCACTACCTACAGCTCTCTGTGGATGTTCAGAGCTGCACTGCAGGAATTGAGTCTCACCACTGACTCACGGACCTCCAGTGGAACCTGCAAAAAGGCATTTTGGCCTCTCAAAATAAAAGAAAAAGGAATTGAGGACCCAGCTCCTGCTTAGAAAGTTAGAGCGGTCAGTGAGGCTGCGCATATGGAGATGCTTTTCATGGAAAAACCCTGTGTATCTCTTTGCAGAGGAAGATGCGGGCTGCTGGCAAACTGGTGGACCACAGTGCTCGGCCGTGGGTGCACAATTAAAACATTATTAACCTCATCACCAGTGTAGCTGTTTTCCAGGCTTGCCCAGTGTTGCTCACCGTTGCTTTGTCTCACTACAAAAGCACACAGCCGCTGATTTCCAACTCAACTGACCTGGGATCATGGCTGAATTACCGAGTTCAGCATGTACTGAGAGCACATCGCCGAGGCAATTCGTAGGGTTGCATCTGGAGGGGTTTCCGTTCCCTCACGCCTTCAGAAGATTCAGTGTTGCTGGATGGCAGAGTCACGTGCTGGACCACCTTTTCCTAAGCAGCCCACCTGTTGGGCATGGCAGCAAACCCTTTTCTTCGTGGGGAAGATTTAACTTGCAGAAAATATTCAGACTCACTGACTCTGTTCCAAAATATTTTACAAGAGGTCTTGCGTCAAGGTGGCATCATATTTTTATTTGCTTTATCAGTTACTTTGAACAGCAGCAGTTAACACAGTGACAAAACAAATGACAGATTATAAGGAATAGCATCACAACCCTCCCCCTCCTTGGTTATGGCTATACGATTAATTTTTTTGAGAACATCACAAGCCTCAGAAGTTAAATTATCGGCAGTTCAACCATCGAAAATGCTGATTCAGAGAGTTATAGTGTCCAGGTGGTACTGAAAATGCCAACAGGCATCCAGATGGGTCTTCTGCATCAAAAATGTGCTAAAAACCTAGCCCAAAGATACCTTTCCAGGAAGTTAAAATTTTATTATTTTTGTGATCTGGAATCTCTGATTTTATACAAAATCCAGAATTGTTCTCCCCCAGACTGCATCTTGGCAACCTTTCCACGTTTTTCTCCTCCTCCCTTTTAAGGTCATCATGCTCATCTTTTCCTCCTTACAAGTGGGTTTTCATGGACTTTTCTGGCACCTCCTACATAGCTTTTTAAGTTGCATTATTATGAAATGAAGACATAAGGAAAGAGAGCAAGACTCCCAGGCACCAGATGCTTATTAAATGTGAGGCTCCTTTATAAGAGTCACAGGGTGCAAAAAGGCCGTAAAGTGTGTCACTGTGAATTTCGTTTGTATTTACTGACTTTCACACTCCGTCACGTTAACTGGAGCCACACAATAAGGCTCAAGTGCAAATGAGCATCGTCCCCCAACTTGTATTAAGTCCCCTCAAAATAAACTTTAGCCTGTAATTGCATGTAGAAAGGAAACTTATCTTTTGGAACACGAAAAAAATTACTGCAAAAACCAAGATAGCCAATCTGGGAGCAGAAATGAAGTCCCACAGTACACTAGGGGCAGAAAACACGATGCAGGGACATCAGCTCATTAGTGGTTCTTAATCGCATTAAAAAGACACCATCAATGGGAAAAGAATTAGGAATGACACCTATCTGACTGTCTTAAAAGTATTATCACTAGAAAAAGTGCCTCAAGTTATAATGCCAAAAAAAGAAGACAGAAGCAAACACTGCTTCTCGTTTTCCACTGCTTGCGCTCTGCATTAGCCAGGAGCTGGCCCTTCCGCGCAGTTTTACTACTGGTGGTTCTGGGCGAGGAGTCCTCCCTGGCGCAGCCCTGGAATGAAAATATTTGCCAAAAAAAAAAAAAAAAAGGGATAAAACGTGGTTGCAAACCAACAAACCTTGGCTGGTGTTGGAAGCCTGGGAATAGGGTCTGAAAGCGCTTGAGATTTTTTTTTTAAAGTTGACTAGATTTTGTTTTGAAAGAGTTCGCTCAATTATTAAGCGGCCTGTAAAGAAACTGTACGTGTCTAAGAAAAAGAATGAGCTTCCTTTGCAATTCCCGATACCGTCAGCATCCAGTCACAGCTTTAGCCCTGCCCTGCGCTGGATTTCGTAGATTCCTGCT